ATAAGTAGTACCCAAAGCAAAGGTCAATTTGTTGTTTAGACTGTATAAATGTTACTCGGAACGGAATGTTGAAAACTTTTGTCCATTTCTACCTAAAAAAATGCATAAAGGCTGTGTAAAAAGTGGTGTATAGACAGTGATAGGGTTATAGAAAAGACAGGCATGCATAAATTTAATCCATACAGTAAAATATAAGTGAAATTTGCTAAAATGTGTCACATTGCATTATGAACTACAACATAACCTAGCAAGGTGAAAGTGGTATCAAAATATTCCGGAAAGGCAATAGAATTCAAAGATAAACAATACATGCAGTCAAAATTTAAGTAAAAGCTAGAATTTCAAAAATAAAATTTTCCAAAATTACAATTTATTGTTGCCATGGCAAAATTCGTTTGTTTTTGTTTTGCTATTTAATCTCTGCGTGGGATTGAGTAGTCCAGTTCATCATTAGCATCGAGAGAACTCATATCGTCAGTTAGTGTTCCTAAAAACAAAAGAATAGTGTTTATAATAATGAAGTAACAAAATAATCAAGTACTTACGTAGTTAACTGGAAGTGAAACGTCAAAGGCGAAGGTGCTGTCAGAACTTCGAAAGTGACAATTCTCGAATATGCATAAACCCGAATATAACAAAAGTAAAAATCAACAAAGTTCCGAAGTAACCAACAACAAATTGATTATTGATAAAAGTGACAAATAATAAAGGTTAATCAGAAGCAGTGTAAATAAAAAAAATAAGTGTAGTGTGTGAAAAAACGTCGATTCCAAAGGATACACCGACAATTGTGAAAAGTACGAACCAGCCGAATATCCGGTCTTCAGAACGAGGAGGAATGCAGCTCGATTACGACGTGCTAGCAAAACCAATTTTCAAAAGTAAGTGTCGACACATATAAAGGCCTATTAGTATAAATTTATTAAAAAGAAAAAGCGCTATACAAATTATCACGTAATATATACCAATATTTGAATTTAGTTTTTTAAGGATGACAACTGATTGTACAGTGTAAAAAAATAATTTGTTCAATTTATAATATACGACATTTGTGACATAATTTACCTCTTTCATTTGCATAATAACATTGCATAACATAAAATTTCTACAATAAAACCTAACATACAGAACCAACAAAAGGAACCCACACCCTATAAAGAAAAATAAATAAAAATAAACAATAAAATTAAAATAATAAAAAAAACATTAAAATAAAAAACAAAACAATATAAAATATAATAAAATTGGCGCCCAACGTGGGGCATTTTAAAAATTTTTTACTTGATATTGGCATTTTAAAAAAGTTTTTTTTTATTTTGGCATTTTGAAAAAGCGTGTTAGATTTTGACACTTAGGTTTATATATAGATCAATTGGTATATTTGGGCAACTCTAATTATTTCACAAACACAACTGGTGTACACATAAGCGTGACATTAGGTGAATATTTAATGGAATTGAGATCAGGAAATATTAAAATGATATCTGACTCTGAACAGGATATGCATACTGAGGGGGAACGACAGGACACTGACATAATGACAGAAACTGACACAAATTCGCAGACCGACACGACACAAAACCCCACAAATACACAAATGGACGCAATTATGGCGATGCTGTGTGATATAAAAAACACTAACAAAGGAATAGAAAAGAAGATCGAAGACACAAATAAAGAAATAGAAAAGAAGATCGAACGAGCTAATCAAGAACTGAAGAATGAAATGGGGAAGATAAGTAAGGATATAAGAAAAGAAATTAGTGTAATGGAGACAGAATTGAGACAGGAGATAAAACAGACGAACGACAAATTGGAGCAGAAAATCGAACAAAACAAAATCACATGTGACACNTACAACAGAGTACTTTTCTCCCGAGTTAAAAAATTACCATGCTGATCATTTTTGAAAAATCCTGTACATACTAGCGCTTATACAGGTATGTGCAACGTCAAAATTGTTCACCACGATAATATATCTGCCTCTTTTGACCATTTATATATCCCCCCTCTTTTTTTAAACATAGCCTCATCGAATCCAGAAAATTTTAGTGCGTTTGACACTCCAACATCTAATATTGATTTGGATGGTGTTTTTGATCCATTACGACAATCTAAAAATCTCATCTGAAAAAAAAACAGTATTTTAATTTATAAACTTTACTAAATTAAATATATTTTTTTTGTTAATTTTTTTTTATATAACTCACATATTCATCAAGAATTAAATAACTGTTTTGCATCTTTGAATTTGACTCTGGAACTAAGGATGGAACTCCTTTGTGGCGATCTATAAATTTATTGAATATTTCTTCAGATATATAAAATCTACTTGCATTGCGGAGAGCATCTGTACCTACATTTTCTCCTTCCAGCAATAAACACTGGAAAACTTTCCATCTATAAGTAATACATTTTAGCTTTAATACAAATACGTCTAAGTTGTTGAAAGAAATTCCTATTTGTTATGTGTACCTATGTGTATGATAGTTTTATATGCAAATTAAATGATCCAGTACTGAACTATTCAGTGACGACTCATGGTAATTAATATACATATATTGGGTCAATAAACTACCGAACGTCTATACAATATATTGTAAAAATTAGTCGAGTTGGTTAAATGTAACTATTATGTGTATATGTACTGTCACTTCTGACGAGCCGCCACTGGAAAAATTCTCTTTAACACTTAGAACAAGAAATTTATTGCTGGTGTGATACAGCCACGAACTATAGTACTGGAATTTTTGAAGAACCTGTTAAAATGGGAATATTATATGCAGGATGAGTCAATGTTGTGGCAAAGATAATAATTTTTCGGTGCGGTGGGCGGAGCCTAGCTCTACCGCACCGAAACCTATAAAAGCGAGCAGTACGCGTGCTCGAGAGCTCGAAGAAAGAAGAGCGCCAGAAAAAAGGGCCCTAGCCGGCGGGGCCCAGCCAGGACAGGAAAGGCCCCACGAACCGATCCAATCCGGCCGCGTTGGCGGTCCGGAATGACGGGGAAAGGGCCTACCTCTACGAGGCGTACGGGCCTACAGCGATGAAGTGGGTAAAGAGCGATAATCCCGCTCGACCCCGCTCCATCCGAAGTCATTTTTCCTGTCAAGGATATTGGCGCGCGCTCGAGAGCTCACTCTGATTCAGGGAATCGAGGTGTACGGAGCTCCCCAAGAGAAGGCTCTGGTGGGTTTTCTCCTGGTGTACTAATTAGAAAGAATTCGCATTTTCATTGTTTCACATTCCGACAGGTCTGGGACCTGGGTGAGGGAAGTGTGGAAAATAAAATAAAGTAAATAGAAAAGTGGTAGAAATAAATAAGTTTTTCCTTAGGTAAGGAAAACGGGGAAAAGGAAAATTCCTTTTTAACAAATAAAAAAAATAAAAGGCCAAAAGATAATAAGGAGTAGAACAACCATAACGCTCCCAGGAAAAAGAACAACCCTAAACATTAATAGAAAAGAGGTCATAGATCCACAACAAAGTTATCCTAGGATAACTTCACAAATAATTCGTGGACTAAGTCTACATTAATAAAAAGAATTTCGCAACACGGTTTCGCGTCTGACTATGGAACAAAACTACATCGCATCGTACGGCGTCGGCGGCCAACACGCACGAGAAAGGGACTCAACCGGCGTAAGAGCTAGCGGGGCACGTCTAACCGCGGCGGGGGTCGTTTTCGACGGCCCCGTTTTGAGGCATAGGGGAGCGGCGGCGTTAAATTAATTTATCGCTGAAGCACATATTTCAAAATAGGTTCGGTTGGGGGGGGGGAGGGGGATCGGAAATACACATTTTAAAAATAATTTGACTTATACAGGGTGATTCGTTTTCGGAGGGCTGACCAGTTATATTTTTTAAATGGAACACCCTGTATTTGAGAGGATATTTATATTTTACATGGAATTATGCAACTTTTTCGTAATAGGTACAATGTGCCAAAAATCAGCCGTTTCCACGATCTTAATATTTCATTATAAAAAATGACATTTTCGGTGTTACACTTGATCGTGACTGATATACTCGTGTTTTGCGATACCCACACTCCAATCGCCACACTTGTTGTACTAGGTTCACCGTAAATTCTGAACTGGTCACTGTTTATAAATCGTACCAAATGTTATCTTTTCAAAGGCAAAAATTTTGTTTTTGTTTTAAATGGAACACCCTGTATTTTTTAACGAGATGTGAAAGACTTTCTCAAAATCTACAACTTTCATAATAAGGTGTTATATATCAGTTCCTCATATTTTACGATATTTTCAACAATTTCTTTATTTTTTGTGAAAATATCCTAGGGAGGCATTGATATGGCAGTGAAACAAAAGAAATGTTTGTAACTGTCAATAGTTTTTCCTGTCATTAGCTATTGCAGTAGGGTTTTTCTGTGATTCAAATAGTTATTCTTAATTAATTAATATTGTTTGTATGGTTTTGTTACTTGTTCGTAATGAATTTCTCAAGAAGATATCAATATGATCAATATGATATGGGTGCTGGGAGAAGCTCAACAAAATTATTTACTTGCAGCGCGTCTCTAACAAATCTTCCAAAAAGGTCTTTAGTATTTTAATAGAATCTTTTAATTCTACTGGAAATGTATCTTGATGAAATTTATCCATCTATTAAGATGGATTGGTCAAGGTGGACCACTGTCATGGCCTCTTACATTATGTGACCTTACACCGTTTGACTTTTTTTTTGTGGGAGTATGTAAAAGACAGGGTATATAGAAAGCCATTGCATTGTTTAAGAATGAATATATGTATATTTTGCTATCTATCATATAAAAGATGTATCATTCACTAAATATTCAATAAGAATCAGAAAGCTGCATAATTTAGGTTCATTATTTTTTTCTGCAAAAAGTAAAGATACATTTTAAGCAATGTTTTTTTGTTTCAACTCATTAGCTCTAGTACGCCGACTCTATTTATGGTAAAAAAAAATGAAAAATAAAGAAATTGCGAAAAATGTAAAATATGAGGAACTGATATATAACATCTACCTATTATAAAAGTTGTAGATTTTGAGAAGGTCTTTCACATCCCGTTAAAAATACTGTTTTTTCTACATTCATAATAAACCTGCAGTATATTATACTAAAGCGTTGGTATCTGCTACTTTGTTCTAAATAGAAAAATAAAAAACTAAGGAGCTAGAATGTGTTATATGAATGACCCTGTACCCTATTTCATTGGGAGGATATTCTCTGAAAAGCTATTCGTCTAGTAATTTTAATTTAAAAAATAGAAAAAATAAAAGAAATAATCTCGATCGCCGCCTTGCCGCAGCACAACCTTTAAAATTAAAATTGAAAATAACCACCTACTTAAAAAACTGCTTTGTAGAGTTTAGGCATTTTCGGACATCTTATAGAAGTCCAACACAACACCCAACATATAATTAAGTAATAGTAAACTTTCAGTAGTAACATTTTCTAATAATAAATAATTAAAAAGTTCAATCTGAGTACTCTGATTGATCTGTCCTAGCGAGTAAGTACACAGAGCCGAAATAAAAGCTCATCACATTTAATGATACGCTAATAGTCCACGGGCCCACGTACAAAGAAAAAAATGATTACCAGCAAGCTGTAACTTTGCGTGCAGCTTAAGTTTGACGAGTCTCCCAAATATGTCGATTTGGTGACATTATGGTTGGTGACAACGAGCAAGCTGATTTTTCTGGGAGGGTTTGGTAATAAGATTTGAAATGAAAGTATGTTAAAATAGCAACAAATGTTTTATTAAAATATTGTTAAGATGGTAGCAATGATAATATATAGAATCAGTGTTTTTCATCTAACAGTTAAGTTGTCTATGGTAAAGTAGAAGTGTAGTTTTTAGTTTTTTATGTTTTGTGATAGACGACGAAGAGTATGTATTTACTAATAAAGAAGTTAAATTAAAGCCTCCGAGTGTTTTTTCAAACATCAAAAACTGTGAACAAGTTATGGATCCAGCCCAGTAAAAAAGACGCTCACGGAGGTAAATCAAAAACTGTGGTAAAGCAGCAAGTTATAAGTAGTAATAGTCACAAAGTAGGGTATGTACTAAAAACAAAATGGGGAACGTGTTAATGAATAACGCGGGAGCATCAGCGTCGGTAACGACATCCACAAATCTAAGACAGAGGGATTGGAGAACTGGTCCACTTGGAAATTTCAAGTAAAAGTCATACTGAAAGCACTTGAAGTATATAATGTAGATGGTACTTTAGTGCAACCAGATGAGGAGCCAGGAAAAACTGGGTGGTTACAAAAAGATGCTAAAGCCCAGAGCATTTTGGTTACAAGGCTATCAAACAAAGTCATGCTCCAAGTAATAACTTGTGACACCGCTAAGTCAATTTGGGATAAGCTTCATACTATCTACGAACAGTCATCAGAAACATCATTGCATTTATTGCAACAAAAGTTTTTTGCAATGCATAAGGGTGAGGAAATAGCAATCTTTTTGGCGAGAATAGAAGAAAACGTAAGTCAAATTAAGCAAGTAAAAGGTGAAGTTCCAGAAAAAATGGTGATAACAAAAATACTTACATCTTTACCCGAGTCTTACAAACATTTTGTATCAGCATGGGATTCCGTTCCGCCTAAGAATCAGACCTTGTCTCAGTTAACAACTAGGTTACTTGTAGAAGAACAAAGAACAAATAATAGAGAAGTTACCGCATTAGTTGCGAATAAAAGTGATAATAGGAAATGTTTTAAATATGGTAAAGTGGGACATTATAACAAAGACTGTCGAGTTAATAATACAAAAAAATTTTGTAAAAATTGCAAAAAGAATGGACATGTAAAAAAATATTGTTGGTTTTTAAACAAAAAAAAAGGAAAACAGTAGTGAAAACTCAAATAACAAAAATAAAGGTGAAAGTTCAAGTAACATTTCCAGTAATGCATTTTCGGCATCAGTGGTATATTATAAAAAAACACTAGTACAGGACTGGATCGTAGACAGCGGTGCAACAGATCACATGTGTCATGACAAAAAGCATTTTTGTGAGTACAAAAAACTTTCACAGTGTAAAAACATTATTATAGGTGATGGGACAATTATCCAAGCGGTAGGGATAGGACTAAAAAAACTAGAAGAGTTCAATGGCAAAGAGTGGATTGAAACCAGCGTAAGTAATGTCTTACATGTGCCAAAAATCACTGCCAACTTGTTTTCAGTTGGTGCAGCAATAGCCAAAGGCTATAAAATCGAGATGGACTATGAACATTGTAGCTTTAAAAGGGAAAATAAAATAGGCGCTATTGCTAAAAGAGACCATAAAGTATACACAATGTGTTTTAGATATAATGAATTGCCACGTGCAAATGTTGGTTGCATAACTGAAAAACTAACAGAGTGGCACTATAAGATGGTACACCAAAATGAAGAACA